GACCGAACGTTTGCAACGTGACGCGATTCGTTTATGGAAGTAGTTTATTGGGTTTATTCTATCGTTTCTCGTGACCACCGTTCAATGCAATGGATGGAGATACAACTTTATAGTCCGTAATCCGTGTATTGAACGGTACGAAAACGTGCGCATATCGTTAGGGAGAGCGCGTTTGGACACGTGAAAAATCGTAATCGTTCCGGTCAAAATCGGGTTTCTTCGGGTAGGCCAAGTATGCGTAATTACCACGGGATATATTCGATTTACGAACGATCAAGCATGACTCGTAAGAAATAAAACACTCGTGTTCGTGTTGTAATAAAATAGGATATAGATATGTCCATATATATGAAAAAAAAAAAATCGTGGTCGAAGAACGGTTTTAATTTTACTTTTATAAGCTGAAACGATGCGATAAAATATATCGAAGAAAGTTATTCAACGTATATTTGCATATATATCGAGTAGATATCTTCGTTTGATAATCTTCGCTCACGTCACCACGGATGAGTCGATTTTTTAATCGCGTTTGCGATAGGAATCGAGAGGTGTGTGGCTATCTTTTGTGGCTATCGATTATCAACCTTACTTCTCGTGCTTACTTCTCGAACAAAGTTGCGCCAAGTTTTTCGAATCTTACGAATCGTTCTTGTTGCTCTTGAGAGAAAAACGCATTTTCTCGAAGTTCGAGTCGAATTATAAACAACTTCCTCTCCGCAAAGATATCGCGTTAAATGCAACTGGATTTCAATCATTAAGAGCCGCCTAGAGTTCACCAGACTGTAAAATATGGTCGAGATATCACTTGGAGAGGGTCTCTGAAACGTAAATAGGCGGTAAATACTTGCTAATGCTATTCTTTTTAGCCAGATTTTTCAAAAAGATCCGAAAGTAGGAAGCGCCCGATCGTTGGAATACAAATTTTCCCCCCCGGTTTCGTGGCGACGTAATATCCTGAGTCCCCTTTCTCAAGTTGGAACCCAGGGCGAAAAAAGAAACGAGAGAGTATACTCGTATTTCGAACGATGGTAATCACTTCCTCGTCGGTGTGCCGCACGGTCATAAGAATCCGGTCTGATTTGCGATTTGATTATGTCGTTCGCGTGCGTATTACAATTTCAAAGCGAGCACCGGCTGTATCTAGAAACGGAAAACGGTATGCTGTCTTTTAGATGTACACGGGAGCAAGCGTGGAATTTTTCTTCGTCGACATTGATCACTCGTCCATCAAATCAATTCGTATACTATATTTGCGCTGTGTATACACGCTTGGTCACATATTCTACGCTCATTTGCATTTTCTACAAAGATACGTTTTAAATAATTTAAAGCGACCAATTTTTTTTATCGCACGATGACGTTCTCTTTCTTCTTCTTCTTCTTCTTCTTCTTCTTCTTTTCAGCGCGAGAAAATAATAAAAGATCATCTCCGGTTCAGGTTAGTACAACACGTAACAATGGCGTGAAACAGTGTCGAAAGTGCAGCACGAACAAGATTCCCGTCGGGATCATCCTCGTTATTGTTGATCTCGGAAAGTATAGGAACGTTGAAAAACGAGGTCGTGACAGATTAATGCTCGATAATCGCCACTGTCGCCCGTTGCAAGTGGCATATGTGTATTAAAGCAACGGTCGCGTCAAGCATGTATATATATATATATATATATATATATATATATATATATATATATATATATATATATATATATATATATATATATATATATATATATATATATATATATATATATATATATATATATATATATATATATATATATATATATATATATATATATATATATATATATATATATATATATATATATATATATATATATATATATATATATATATATATATATATATATATATATATATATATATATATATATATATATATATATATATATATATATATATATATATGTATTATTACCTAAGAATACAGTGCGTGGATTACGTATCTTTCGACATCTTCTTGCCGATTGTTCCCTCGGTCGAAGATGTTGCTGGCATCGTTTCTTTAGAAAGTGGAGGTGTATACATTGATGCATTTAAAAGATCGATATCTATGTCATCGTGTACAACATAGAGTACACGATGAGATCAATACGGAATACGCGTCACTCGTATATACTGCGGGTGATATCCCATTTAAGCGTAGTTTTTATTTTTTACTTCCACGTTTATGGATGCATACGTGTATTATTCCATTCTGTTTATTATTATTCTGAAATAACGAAGAAGCGAATAACTATAAACTATATTTATTTAAAACCTTCTTCACCGTTTGTCGTAAATTATCTTTAATAATTTAAAATAAATCTTTTTTATTATGATTAATCTTTATATTTTTTTCAATTTTCAAATATAAATGAGTTACGGCATATTCTATTTCGTATGAACATATTTTAAAAAAATATAAGTTTTCTGTAAACAATTCATATCTAATTATACGATAATAATTCTTGAAGAAATAAATAATTTAATAAGCCATAAAATTGTACAGTATATTCACTAATGATGAAATGCTGCAATTTTATTCTACGTATCGCTGAATCAAATGTTTAAAGTTCACGGCAATGCTGTTGTAAGAATACGGGAAAGTAAACAAGGAAATGTTATCAGTGCAGTAGGACAATAGACGATTGAAAATATCTTTAATTTCTTTAAAACGTCTTCGAATATTTCGAAGTTCGTTTCAACGGATCGAATGTACAACATGGTTGATTGATAATAAGCCCAGGGATCTAAATCCTTTCTAAACGCGGAGAACGCGATACATCTTTCGTTGCGATCGATGACAATCGATTTAATTTCTTTAAAACGTCTTCGAATATTTCGAACGAATATTTCGTTTCAACGGATCGAATGTAAAACGTGGCGATTGATAATAAGCCCAGAGATTTAAATCCTTTTTAAATGTGGAGAACGCGATATATGTGTCGTTGCGATCGATGATAATCGATTTAATTTCTTTAAAACGTCTTCGAATATTTCGAACGAAGTTCGTTTCAACGGATCGAATGTACAACGTGGCGATTGATAATAAGCCCAGAGATTTAAATTCTTTCTAAACGCGGAGAACGCGATACATGTGTCGTTGCGATCGATGATAATCGATTTAATTTCTTTAAAACGTCTTCGAATATTTCGAACGAAGTTCGTTTCAACGAATCGAATGTAAAACGTGGCGATTAATAATAAGCCCAGAGATTTAAATCCTTTTTAAACGCGGAGAACGCGATATATCTTTCGTTGCGATCAATGATAATCGATTTAATTTCTTTAAAACGTCTTCGAATATTTCGAAGTTCGTTTCAACGGATCGAATGTACAAC